TTTCTGGAATCGTCATTTGGTGTATGTTTGCACCAAACACCTACTGCTGCGCCTGCATTTTTTTGTGTATTTCCAATCTTGAATTTGTTAAGACCGCATACATGTTATATTGGGATATGAGATGACCTTCACTCATGAGTAGTCGAGATAGGATTCCTCTCGATTTTCTCTCACTCCTCTGGCAAACATCGGCAAACATTTTCAATCTAAGCCTCTCGGCATGCTTTCTTTAGCTTCGTGCTTCGATCTGACTGCCGATTCAAAACAAAGCCTAGTGCTAGAGAAGTTGGTAAAACGAGACCAGTTGACCATTTCACAAACGTAAAAATGAGTATTTGGCTAGTAAAAAAAGACAGAGCCTTGCGACCTCCTTGAGAAATCGAAAGAAAGAAAATTACAGTGGCATAGCGTTAGGGGACAAATCTATTCTCGGAAAACGCTGGATGCCTCTTGGATACCTGTGCGCAATCCTAAAATGAGTAGCGATGTATCGCAGCGGTCAAGGGTTGCTTCTACCATCCTACAGTCTTTGAAATTGCATTTCGCTATTTAAGCACGTTCAAGTCATCTTGAACTACCCTATAACTAGGCAGGCGAAGGTGGAGAGCTAGTTAGGTTTGCTAGCCTCTTTTAAACACTCGCTGAATGGATCTGCCAATTTTGGGAACAGTTCCGCTCATAAAGTTCAATGTATGGGTGGTGTATGACAAAAGGTGAATGAATCACTTCAAGCCTTTGAAGAAGTCGTTGTGTTGCCATAATGTTGGTTTTTGGAACAAAATGTTTCATTAGCAATCTGTAATGGCATAGAAAAGGTCATAAAAACTGTAACTGCCAAGGCTTCAAGATAAATAACATATGGGATGACAGAAATTTTTTGGGAGAGCGATTTAATGACAAAAAATTAAACAATAAAATCAAAAAAAAGCACGAAACCAACCCATAGTAACCTGCATGTTTGTCCATGCTCGTAGTGTCTCTCATATGTACAGAGTGAAGTACGGATTCAACAATGAAAGACTGAGTATCATATCCGGTCATCAATGATGTAGTAGCAATACTCAAGCAGATAATACACAATAGCTCTTTCCAACAAGCTTTCATATTCGATTATTGCAATGCCCTGTTAGATGATTCATTGAAATAAAAACAATGGAAGTTGTCTTGAA